CCCTCCTCACAGATGTACCTGTGCTCACTTTGGTGGGAGCGCAGGAAAGAGAACATGCCACGAGGCCACCAGGCCACTTTCTCAGAACTTTCAGACATAGCTGGCAGCATGCTCAGTTTTCTCTCAGTCTTGCATTCCAGCAACCCATCATTTGTGCCCCTAGGTGATCTTTCTGGAATCCAAATCAGATCGAGTTCTCCATTCATGTAATTCTACCTGGCTCCTTGTGTTAGGCGGTTCTTGCATTGCTACAAAGAAATACCAGAGACTGAGTAATTTATAAAGAAAAGAGGTTATATTGGCTCACGGTTCTAGAGGCTGTGCAGCAAGCATGGCCATGGCACGTGTGTGGCTTCTGGGGAGGCCTCAGGGAGCTTTTACTCATGGCAGAAGGCAAAGCAGGAGCAGATATATCACATTGCAAAAGCAGGAGCAAGATGGAGAGAGTGGGGGTGGAGGGTGCCAAACACTTTTTTTTTGAGACGGAGTTTCACTCATGTTACCCAGGCTGGAGTGCAATGGCGCGATCTCGGCTCACCGCAACCTCCGCCTCCTGGGTTCAGGCAGTTCTCCTGCCTCAGCCTCCTGAGTAGCTGGGATTACAGGCACGCACCACCATGCCCAGCTAATTTTTTGTAGTTTTAGTAGAGATGGAGTTTCACCATGTTGACCAGGATGGTCTCGATCTCTTGACCGCGTGATCCACCCGCCTCGGCCTCCCAAAGTGCTGGGATTACAGGCTTGAGCCTCTGCGCCCGGCGCCAAACACTTTTAAATGACCAGATTTCCTGTGAACTCAGAGAGCTCACTTATCACCAAGAGGATAGCCCAAGCCACTCATGAGGGATCTTCCTCCATAATTGAAACACTTCCCACCAGGCCCCACTTCTAACCTGGGGATTATGTTTCAGCATGAGATTTGGGTGGGGACAAACATCCAAACTATCTCGCTCCCCTTGAGCTTCCGGGAGTTGTTCAAAGTACTAAATGTTCTTGGGGGATATCCTGGTCTGCACCCACCTCACTCTTTAGCCTTATGCCCCACATTGTTCCCACATAATGTGGGATATGATAATGTGAGGCACTCTATAAACATCGTTTATATATACTACAGGTTTGATACACCCTGTGGCCCAGGCCCCCATAACCAGGTGCCATGTGTTTCTCTGCCCAGAAGTACCCAAGCCCTATCTGCCTAACAAGCTGCTGTCCAACTGAGGGCCTAGCTCAAGCCTCCCTTCCCAGGGCTCCCCATCATTCCCTCTTGTCTCAGCCTAAACTCAGCACATCACCCTGTCCTCCTCACAGGTACCTCATTGCTGCAACTGATTCTTGCCACATATGCCTTTCCTGCTGGACCATGAGTTCATGAGGGCAAAAAATGAGTCTTTCATCTTTGTGTCCCAAGCATCTGGCATAACATCGTATGGATGGGTGCACTGTTGGCCAAAGTCTACAGCCCAGGGCTGCACAATAGAGCTTTCTGGGTGAGAGTTGGGGGAAAGAGGAGGAGAGGCGTGAGAAATCCCTCCAGGGCAGTGGACACTCACCTCCTGGGGTTGGCTGGGCTCAGCATGTCACTAGGTTCAGCCTGTGTTGATTTTTTCAGGTGACCTGGTGTTTTACAGCTGAGCAGGACTCCATAGACCAGAAGTATTTCCCAAACATTCTAATGTGGTTAAGCTTTGTATATTAACATTTGATTACAAAAATTTTAAAGGTGGGTCTGGCTAATTCCTTTCTCTTTAAGTTCATTTTTTAAAAAAGCTTGACATGGCAGCTGTGAATTTTTTGTTATTTCACATCTAAGATCTTCCTCTTTCCTCACTCAGAGATCTAAAATCTTCCTCTTTCCTTCCCTCTTGTCTCAGCATAAATGCAGCACATTACTAGTTATAGAATAGTGTAAGTGTGAGGATGGTTAACAGGTTACTGTTAGAGCAGCTCTAATGTAGACAAAAGATACCAGGTAGCAAGTGACCCACCTGCCTTGTGACTTGAAGGGAGTCATTTAAGGGTCAATCAACAGAGTGTTTATGTGCCTCTTAAAGGCAAAGCCCTGTTCCTCTTGAGGACTGAATTAGAGATAGACTCTTCCCTAAGAAACTAATCATTTGCTTAGCACGTATTTATTAAGCCCCTATCATGTGCAAGGCACTGACACAGTTTACAGTAATGGCAATCAGACAAACATGCACATATTAAGTACTAACTGTCATAGGAAAAATGATGAAAAAAACAAATATGCTTTAGAAGGGAATGAAAGTCACATATGGGCATGAAAGGAACCTCAGTTATATTTGAGGGTAAGCATGGGCCCGTCTGTGGAAGTGCCATTTAATCTGAACTCTTAGGAGTCAGCCAAGCAAAGAGAAGAGGGGCAGGCATTCCAGGAGGAAAGAGACTACCAGCAAGATGCATTCAGGGCACCAAGAGGAGGCCTGCTGTGGCCAGGACACAGAAACAAGGTGGACCGGGCATGAGACGAGACCAGAGAGTGGGGAGACAGATGAGTGAACCAGAGAGGAAGAAAATGATATTCCAATCCTAGGCAGCGTGTGCTTTCCACATGTATCTCGCTTAATCTTTACAACCACCCCTTACTGCTGCTGTCATGTAAAAGGTACCATTGGTGAGTATTGGGATTGAAGAGGAGCCCATCTTCATTCATTGTAAAACACACACACACACACACACACACACACACACACACGAACCTACTAAAGTTTGAAAGGAATTCCTTTAGGGTTCAGACTTCGTAATAACTCTCTGGGCTGAGCTGGTGTCTGTATTTGCTAAGTCTAGATGATGTTTTATAGAGTAAACATGGGACTTAATTACTATCCATGCACATAAGCAAAATTAACATTGATGGGGTATAGAGAGTAGAACACATCTATTCTCTTCATCCCAGCCCTTTTTCATGCGTATGATACCGATGATTCTGGGTTTGTGACTAAATTCCATTTGTTTGGAGGTGAAATCGTCCACTTTTAGTAAAGTGTAAGACATTCTTTTCTACAAGATGTTTTTAGTGTATCCTGCAGTCCCCCATGTGAATTAATAACATGCCAAACATTTTCTCTCTGCACTATTGCTTTGTTTGGGTTTGTTTTGTAAGGAGACGTAGATTTCTTTGGGTTAAAGGCTCTCAGAAATCTATATATAACTAGGCACTTAAGAAGAGTAGACTTATAAAGTAGTTGCCATTTTGAAAGATTTATTTTGTGTGGCAGGTATGGAAAACTCATAGTCTGGCAGGACATGTAACCTTCCTATAGAACAAAGTCACCTGATTATAACCCTACTTCGGTCATCGTATTTCCCTGCCCAAAGGCCTTCCCTGGTTCCCCATGGTCAAAGGGACACAATGCAAGCCCTTCTGAGTGAGTGCCATTCAGAGACCTTGCTTTGAGCCTGTTTATTTTGCGGGTGCACTCTTACAGATCCCTGGAGAGACCACAAGCTCATCTCACTGCCACCTGTTACCTGGTTGTATCCTTGCCCCCACCCAGACTGTAAGACCCACTCTACTTGTCTTGTGTCCTCACCCTGTCACCCCCACCTCCATTGCTGCCTGCCCAGCACTGCGCTTGGCCTGCAGTGGTGAACATCAAAGTGGATTCGTTTCCTCAGTTGCTTGGGACCTACCAGAAATGGAGAAAAAAGACAGGGTGCAGCCTCCAGGAGTGAACAGTCCTATTGTTTGACATGTGGGGTGATGGTGGCCAGTGACATTAGCCTCACCTGAGAGCTCATAATAACTGTGGAATCTCAGCTTTTCCTCCCTGCCCCAGTTCTGCATGAACAAGATTCCCAAGTGATCTGCATTGCGTGGCAGAGCTTGAGCTCCTCTTTAAGGCCCGCAGACAGTCAAGCTGGGTAGGTGGGTTGGTTGATCTGTTTTTGTTTGCATGTTTGCTCTACAGTAGTTTTACATCTATGGATTTAAATTGTTCTTCACTTAGCACACTGCTTTTGAGTGCCTGTTAATATGTTCTGTCATTAGGTTCTGGAGAGCACAACTAAATTATAAGTAAGCAAATCTACAGATTTATCTATATTGTTTCTAAAAATAAAACTTTCCACATACTGCTTGTGCTGCGTTCAGCCAATTTTTTTTTTTATTTATGCTTTTGTTCAGGATATTGTGCTAGTTCAGAGGTAGTAAACTAGCATTTTGTAGGCCATATTTTGTCACATACGTGATTATTTGGACAACACAGTTTTGATAAATTTTTAATTCATTGTACGCATTTAAAAATCAAGAGGTTTTCACATAGAAAGCAGATTTCTAGCTTATCTTGAAAACCAGGCCGTCCTGGGCCCACATTCTTGATGGCACAGTGGGCTGGAACTAGGAGGCTCTCCTAGAAGTGGGGCATGTGACCTCCAGTTCCCCACAGGTCCCCACCTCACTGTCTCCTTACTGGCCTTGTAGAACCTATGTGAGTAGCTGCAAGTTCTCAAAGGTGCACCACCAGATGGCTTGGTGGAGTTTGCTCCCTTCTAGTTACCTTCAGGGTCTTTGTACAGAAGCACTCCTCACAGAAGGAGAGGAGAGAATGAACTGGTGGTAAGGACAAGTTACAGGACTCTAAGTTACAGCGTCTCAACCCTGGTTAATGGAACCTTGTAAAACTACCAGTTCCCACTGTCCGTCCACAGCTCCCAGGGACTCTCATTTTAATCTGACTTGATAACCCACATCTAGCCCACCCATATTACTTAAAAAGAAAAGTGCCAAAAAAGTGATTTTTTTAAATGCATATACACATACGTACATTGACTCATTACTCTGGACATGGTGATTGAAGATACATGGTAATTTTGTCTAGTGGCCCAACATTTACCTTACTTATCTACAGAAAAAAAGAGTTAGCAAAGCAGATGAGTATTATATGCAAGATCGCTCCAAAATGCTTTATAGAAAGTAGTTTTTTTGGTGATTTAAATTCAAACATAGACTTAAGCTAAATATAATTTACATTTCTATTTAAAAAAAACAAAGATTTGGAAGGAACCAGCAAGAACTGTGAATATATCATACAGGCCCCTCCAAAATTGTAGAATTGTTTTTGCCACATTATCTGTTATCACATAGCCTAAAATTTTATTTGTATTTTAATTAGTTTAGAATAATTGTTATGACTATTGGAATTTAGCTGTGTATGACATAGAAGTATTCATCTAAGAACGACTTCAGAGGGTAACTTTCTGTGATGCTGCAGCTTTAATGGAAAATCACCTCCCCCCCAAGTCTACTGATTTGCTAATGGACTGCGGAGTCCTGGCAAGTGAAATCTCTGCCATCTCTGGCAGTTCTTCCTGATTAGTGGTCTGACAAGCACCAGAGTAATTCATGCAATGACTTTATGCAAGAAATTTCATTATTTCTAATAACTTACAGTGTTTTAATACTTTAATGTAATTATGCTTGATTATATATTGTAATATGCATTAGCTGAGCTTTGTCTCTGGATCTAAATAAAATACAGCTAATGGAAAATTTTCTTCCAGTTTTTTTTAAACGAGGAATTAAGTCCTGAAGTGAAACTACATGCAAAGCAAGCAAGCAATCTCTTTCCAGAGAAAGTATCAGTGTAATAGATTTGAATGTCCTAGTTTATCAGTTCACTTTGCTAAATCCCCAAATCATACACTGGTTTAAATTTTTTTTCAGAAGTTGTATTGCTCACCTTTCCACTGACCAATTTTTAGTAAATTCTGTTTTGTTTTATGAACTTTTACTAAAAGGTAATCTGAGCAAGGGAGATGTTGAGAAAGACATATCAAAGAATGTGATATATGATGTTGGCTACTAAAGGTGGAGATGGGAGGAGTTGGAACCAGTGACAAGGCGAGGTTTGGGGATTTATTTATCTGTGTTGCTCATTGTGGGTGGATGCTCAAGACAGATACAAGTAGCAAGAACTGAAATATAGCTGGCTCCTGAGTGCATCCACACGCACCGCGGATCCATGCAGGGTTTGCATGCACATTCTCACGCTGCGGGATTTCGCCCCACGGTTAGGGCTGAAGTGAGGGAGGGCACAGTGCAGGAGTGTTAGATTAGTGTGAATTTGTGAAGCGTTATATGGCTTTTGAGAAATAAACCCATTTTAGAAGACCCTCCATTCTCTCTGCCTCCTTCATGCCTCTTCCAATTTCATAGTAACTTTTCCTTCCCTAGGGAAGTAAAAAAAAAAGACAAAAGAAGGAAACAAAATGGGGGTTTTAGACCCCTCTCCATCCTGATCCGCCTGCAAGCACCGCTGAGGTAGCTGCTCCTTGAGCTCACTGGAGGCTTGGTCACCTGAGGCTGTGGGCCAGACCTTCAGAGTCAGCGAAGCAGTAAGATGCAAAGGCATCGCAGACAGCTCAGCCATCCCACTGATCATGGAAGAGACCTGCTTGCTTTTTCATTTGGGAGTTACCTGCTTCCTGGCCTGGAGAAGGAAGAAAACAGAAAAGGAAGTAATTCCTAACATTTGCATAGCACAGTCCCATACAAGAGATTTAATTTCCTTAGCAATCCTACATTGGTAACTGTGAAGGCCCTGAAAAACTGAGGCTCTGGGAAGTCAGACGTCTAGATGAAGTTTCATAGCAAACGCACAGTGTAGTTGGGTTCAGGTCCATGCCCACTGCTTAAGCCTCTGTGCGTTCCTCTAGGCCACTGCACAGAAGGCACAGGCTCTCTGGCATCGGTTCCAACCACACAGACACACTCAGGCAGTTCTCCGATATAGGGAAGTCTCGCTCTGGCACAGAGCTATTGGTTTTGTTTTTAGCAGAATTTAACAATGCCTATTTTGAAATCTTTGCTTAAAGGCACATTTTAAAGTTTAAGAAAGGAAAAATTAACAGCCATCAGAGGCCGTGAAGGGAGATGAAAGCTCCAAGCTAGAGGCTCCCAGGAAATGTTTATTAAAGGTGACCTTATCTTATGATGTTGCATGCACACATTGATGTATAAACTTCATAGAGAAGAAAAACAGAATATTCAGTTAATGGAAAGAGCAGTGAAATGGAAGTCAGGTTCCAGGTTTGATTCCCACCCCATATCATTTGCTAGCTCTGTGGCTGCTGACAGATTATGAGGCAATCTGCATATCAGTTTCCTCATTTGAAAATAGGAGCATGCTATAATATCTCACAAGACTATTGGGGGCTGAAATACCATCATATATGAAATGGCTTTTAAACTTCTAGGTGAAAGGTATTCTCATTCATACGTGCTCACCGGTTAGGAGTCTGAGTGGAACAAGTCAAAGGCATGCATCTCTTTCAGCCTGTCAGCACCTTCTTATTTCATTCTCAGGTGATCCGACCCTCTCCAGCATCCCTCCCCAAGATCTCAACCTCAAAATACATCCTTTGAATCAGCTTCTCTCCTGGTCCATTTGTTGCATCATCCCCATCCCTCTCTTCTACTGTGATCTCTGGTTTTTGTCCTCAACATGAGCTCTCTTTCCCGAGTCTCATGTGCTCTAAAACACTACCCCATAGACATCACACCTTAAGACTTTACCCCTACTCCCAGGTAGGTAGGTAAGTCATTCCCTCAGCATGCCCTCTCCCTAAGCCCTCATCTCCAGACCAATTTTTGCCTATTTGTTAACAACCTTCCTTTATAACTTAAACATCCTTCTGGAATATAACATAGGGTCCAGAGCACAGACCTGAGAGCCAGGCAGCCTTGTTAGGAATTCCGATTGTGCTATCTTCTGGCAGATTGCTTAGGCAAATTCCATTCCCTTTTTGTGCCTCCTTTTCCTCGCTTAAAATCCTTACAACAATGCCTGGCATGTAGTAAGCACTGCCTGAGTGCTGGGCCATGCAGGACATGTTCAGGCTTCAGCAGACAAAGGGAAGGAGAACTGGATTTTAGTTATTGAGAACAGAACAAGCAGAGACTTTTTGCCCCAATATTTAATAATCTATTCTTTACCTGCAACATTATCTTACCTGCAGTGCTATTCAGGTCAGCCTTCCGGTTTCCCACTGATTCCCTAGTATCGTGTCTCCCATTCTTGCCTCTGATTCAATCCACTATGCAGTTCTTTCCCAGCTTGTGTTTCTCCTTTGTATCTTCACTCATTTGCTAGCACTCTTATTTGAACCTTGAGTAGGTAAGAGCTTTTTACTTACATTTTAGAGCGGTTTATAAATAGGCTGCTTAGTTTCAGCCAACAGGTACAAGCTTCATTAAATTCTTCCTCCTTCCCATAGTGCTGTTATCTGGAGCTCCCAGGAAAAAAAAAAAAAGAAGAAGAAGTTGAGAATGATGTTTTCCTAGTCATTAGGAAAGCATAGTTTGAGGCCCAAGCAGCAGTTTTTCTTTTCTTTATCAAGAATTGACCAATGATTTTGACCAATAATCTACACTTAGAAAAATTTTCCCCACTGAAAATAATACTCCTAAAGACACCTAGATCATTAGCTATGATTAAGAAAGCCAAAGTCCAAAAATAATTCAGAAACAAGGTTCAGATTCACTCTGGATGCAAATTACTCTAGCATATCAATTAATTTTCTCACCAAGAAAGAAATAAGAATATGAGCAGCAAAGCTACCTTTGATGGAAATAATGTATCCAGTTGGGGGAAGAGGGACTCCCTTTTCTGTTCAAAACCTGAATAGGAATTGCCCCTGAAATACTTTAAAAGGCTTCCCCCCCCCAATACTCAGTGATCAATGCAAGAATTTCTTGCATTGTTACAGCAGCATAATTAAGTATGTTTAACATTTTTTATTTATATTCATGTCATTATTTTCTGTTCTGAACAGCATAGTGGAAGCCGCTAAAAAGAGGAAGCCATGAAAGAAATCACTTTTCTCTGGTATATAAAAGCTGTCACCATAGTTTTAACATGGGAAATATTCTACAATAAAGTATAGCTCAAAGATGGGACTCAGCAATATTACCATACTTCAGAAATGTGGCCACAATCACTTATCCTTGCATTCCTCCAAAGAATTACAACAGTATGTCCTAATAAATTTATATGGCCTTTAAAAAAATTTAGATGGGCAGGGCACGGTGTAATTCCAGCACTCTGGAAGGCCCAGGCAGGTGGATCACCTGAGGTCAGGAGTTTGAGCCCAGCCCGGCCAACATGGTGAAACCCCATCTCTACTAAAAATACAAAAATTAGCCAGGCATGGTGGCACACACCTGTAGTCCCAGCTGCTTGGGAGGCTGAGGCAGGAGAATAGCTTGAACCTGGGAGGTGGAGGATGTAACCATCCGAGATCACATCATTGCACTCTAGCCTGGGTGACAGAGCAAGTCTCTGTCTCAAAAAAAAAAAAAAAAAAAAAATTCAGATGATCTTGCCATTCCCAGGTTAGAATAAAAAACGTCACAATGAAGCCTCACTGTATCATTGAGGAGTATTTAATATGAGGAAATCAGCCTACAGAAAGACTGAAAATCAGGGGCAGTAAGTCCCTTGCAGAGTCCTGGGCTATTTGGGAAGTGGGAGGGGTCACCTGGCCTCAGAAACTTGCTGTGTCTCGTTTATTGCAGGCACATTTTCCATCACTGCCATTATGTTCTGTCACTGCCCAAGCCTGTGCTCTTTAAATGGTTTATTGGAAGCTCTGCAGAATGGTCCTAAATATTACCTATGATAACCAACAGAATCTTGAGAGTGTGGTGACAGCCTACCCGAGTCAGTCTTCTTCAAACGCTGGCTTCAGGAAAATCATTCTATTTCCTAACACTGTTTGTTATTTAATCCCCACCCACACAAATACACACGTTAGCGGCTTGCCTTTTATAGTTGATACTTAAGAAGAGGTTTGTGTTGTGGTTTCAAGTGTTGGTGTTACCACTGACTTCTCTATTTCACTGGCAGTGATTCGGTTATCCAAGACTGGGTAGTCTTTAAGCATTTGCTCCTTAAAACCTAACTGCATTCTAGTGAAACCACGTCCACAATGGCTATTCCTCAAGTAGAAAGTAGCCATGTAGAGAAAATTACTGATTCCAAATGCAGTTATTTTCCACAGCAGTGTAAAACAGGTTTTGATACAAGTGTCTTGTACTTCAGAAAGAGGCTTACCATATCGTTACAAGTAAGGAGTTCCCTTCATGCTGGAAACGAAAGCCTTAGTTTACAAGACTGTGTTTGCTTGTGATGTGAGCAACTTGAGGCTCCCTTAACAAAATCGCATCTGTTTTCATATTACTGTCCGTGGTAGCAGTAAAGACCCAAGGACATTGTCATCTTTCTGCTGAGGTAATGAAGCCTTCAGCCTGTTTCTTCAATGGCTCCTTGTTACTGGAATTTCTGATGTGATAGCTTCAAACCAGTAACTAAGAAATAATTACTTAGTAGTTATATTTACTAATATGGATAAAAAATATAATTTTCAAATTCTACATCTTGATATATTCACATAAGTTGAAAACCATAGTAAATTAATTAATTTCAGAGTAAATCATATCATCTCTCATTCCTTTTAAGTAAGTATATGTGTGATGAATGTAGTAGCTTTGATCCAATCTCTTAGACTTTTTTAAAAATAGCAATGAGATAGACGTCATTTTAAAAGATATTATGAGTATAAAATTAGCATCTGAAACGAACTAATTTACAGCACGTTTCTCAATGTGTATTTTCTAAAAGTATGCCATTAACTCTGTACTGGGCATTTTCCATGACCTCTGGAAGTCTTTATGAAACCCAGGTTTCTGAATGGCTCTGTCTGAGATTCCTCTGCTTCTGTGCTTCCTCAAAAAATTCTAATTGAAAGGTGTGAATTTCATGTAACAGAGACCTTGCTTCAGACTAATTGAACGTTCTTGGCTCCTATGCTGACATGTCATGAAGAAATAACCTCTGGGTGTGTCCGCAGCTTGGCAGCCCTGGGAAGTCTATTCTGCAGCGTAAAGAAAGCCAGTGGCTAGATGAAGAGACCAGATTGTTTAGGCCGTCTATCAAGTGTAAGAAAAGGACGGGTGGCAGGAGCCCTGCCAAAGTGCAGGGGAGTGGGCATCCTGTGTGGGAAGCGGGAGTGCAGGTCTCACTCAGGTGGGACCTCAGAGCTCCACTGGCGGGACTCTCTCTTTTTAGATAGGAGGTTGAAATGCAACATGTAAGGGCTAATTCCATTTCTTCATTATCCCTTTGCTTTATAATTTGTTCTTTAATTTGTGCAAGTTACTCGTTCCTGCCATTTAAACATTTCAAGTGTTTTGTTTCTGTTCGTCCTTTTTTTTTTCCCAAAACACACACACACACACACACACACACACACACGGAGAATATTAAAAGTTTTTTGTTCTTTTGAATGTTGATAAATTGAAAAAAGATACAGTGTCTGTACATATTGGCATCAGGAGATATTTATTCTAGAAGAGAATAACAGCTGACTGAATAGAACAGCTTTTGTGTGACTTGGAACTGTAGTTTCTTTTTTAAAAAATATGTATATTTTTTGAGATGAGATCTCACTTTGTTGCTCAGGCTGGAGTATGATGGCACAATCACAGCTCACTGCAACCTCAAACTTCTGAACTCAAGTGATCTTTTGCGTGTCTTCTAAGTAGATGGGGTTACAAGCAAGGGCCATCAAGCCTCTCTTTTTTTTTTTTTTTTTTTTCAAAGATAGGAATCTCACTATGTTGCCCAGGCTGGTCTTAAACTCCTGGTTTCAAGGAATCCTCCTACTTTGGCCACCCAAAGCCCTGGAATTACAAGTATGAACCACTGCACCTAGCCCTTGGAACTTAGTTTGCGGCAGGACCTGAATCCCATAATGAAAAGCACAGAGCCTTTTGCATGTTTGATCTTATTTCAGAGCAAGTCAACCTTCTTAAAAGTTGGTGTCATTTACTGTTTCGTTTTCATAATTCTAATAATTTTTAAAGAAAAGACTGAAGTCTGTGAAACACTAAGAATATTCATTTCTTCTTTTACTTGTATAACAAAAAAGACTAGCCTTAATTTTATTTTCTGTTTGACCCATGTATTGTCCAATCATCACAGCCCACTGTGCTTGCTGTATGTAATTATCAGGAGGTGAGACCAGGCCAAGGAGCCCAGAGAACACCCAGGGGTAATTGGTGGGAGGGTAGTGCACGCCAGCATGTGTGAGTACACACATTTGATTTGTGTGAACAGAGGGAAACATGAAAAACAGGCAGGAGGGGCTCCTCAGAAAGCTAAGCAGTGGGAAATCTGGTGTGGGCACAGACACCTGGGCATGCTTCCCCAAGAAGCACGGCCAGCCATTGCCGTCCTCCGCCTCGCTAGTCTTGGTGTGTGAGGGAGGGAACACAAATCAGCCCAGGCCAACTCATCCTGTGTGCACTGCTGCGTCTGGCTTCTCTGCAAAGCCAGGAAAATGCTGGAAATATGCACAACTCCTACAAGAAGAAAATAGCCCACGAGCTACTTCTTCATTGAGTTTGCCCAAAAGTGAAATGTGGAAAGAAGTGCACAGGCCAGGTGTGGTGGCTCACGCCTGTAATCCCAGTACTTTAGGAGGCCAAGGCGGGCAGATCACCTGAGGTCAGGAGTTCGAGACCAGCTTGGCCAACAGGACGAAACCCTGTCTCTACTAAAAATACAAAAATTATCCGGGCGTGGTGGTGCATGCCTATAATACCAGCTACTCAGGCAACAGAGGCAGGAGATCACTTGAAACTGGGAGGCAGAGGCTTGCAGTGAGCTGAGATTGTGACATTGCAATCCAGCCTGGGCGACAAGAGCAAAACTCCGTCTCAAAAACAAAAAGTGTACAAACCAATTTATTTATATGTTTTCCACAGAAGAATCACAAGTAGACAATGTGATGTACACCTGAGACAGCGGTGCTTGGTTTCAGCTCCTGGGGGGCAGCCTGGCTTCTCACTCCCCCAGAGTGGGAGGGACGACACGTGGCCTTAGGCCTAGGAGAGTTTCTGCTGAGAAGCAGGAAGAGCTGTCTGCAGGGTGCAGGGAGCACATAAGCCTGTGACAACAGGTGGCTCCCAAGACAAGCCACTTGGCCCTGAGAGCACCCCACGACGCAGGCTGACTTCTCTAACTCTGTCTGTCAGCACGTTAGCCCCTCCATAAGGGGAGCCCTCGGCGGTACCTGGGAACCAGCATCTGTGCTGAGCTATGTACCAGGGACAAGGCAGCTTTCTGTGCTAGGGGCGAGCAGGATGAGCAACAGCCCCGTTTTCCCATAGAGGTGGGTGTGGCTCCTGAAAGGGGGCGTATACCTTTGCTTCCTGCTGGGCATTGCTGAGGTGGTTACC